GACCTGCGCAACTTGTTTTAAAAGACTTTAAAGGGCTATTTCACGTTATCTTCAAGCCTGAGTGCACATGTACGTATACCTTTCATCAGTGAAAGCTGGCACTGTTCATAATTCCAAAAATCACAAATTACTTGTTTCTCAGTTGGTGCCTTCTCTTTTCTTCCACGTTCGACCAATTTGTGCGTTTGAAAGAGCTGTTTAAGTTTACTCATGCTACAAGCTTTGTAACTTGTACCAACTGCACATATATGCCGGTTCTCTGAGCGTCGCTTCAAATAGTGACTGTGACATGGCTGCAGAAGCTGCACTGCAAGGTGCGGATGAGCTTCAGTTTGTGTTATTTTAAGCCTCTTACTGACACATTGTCATAATTTCATTTCTTCAGGACCTGCGGTAGAGGCTTCAAAAAGCGGCTCCCACACATTGAGGTGCCCCGATGAGCAGGGTGCGTTCAGTATCGCGATTTCTTTTTTTTACCCAAATTGACTGTTGACCAAACCTTTGCAGATGGCAGCTCCCTTGTAGCCGGTGAAAGAATTTCTGCTGACTTCGTCTTGCCGGAGAAAACATTAACCAGTCGTTCAGCTGTCACAAAAGGAACTTGTGTGACCGGTAAGTTGTATGTTCACTTCAACACCAGAGTGGATTGATATAGAGACTTCCGCAGGCCGCTCGCAAGATTGTTCCGACAGCACTGTCCGAGGCACTGAACAAGCTTCATAGGACCCTCCAGAAGACGTCTCCGCCAACAGCTCTATGCCTGAATGCCCTAGAGAAAATGGTGACTATGCTTTTATTGTAGCTGTTTTTAATGTGCTATTTTATGTTTAGGACATTCTGAGGAAACTATCCTCAAAAGGACACTACGTGTGCACTTACAAAATGTAAGGGTGGGCTCTCAGTGATTTTCATTTTTTTTTGTGCATTGTCAACATTGTGAATGGTTTGTTTTTAGGTAGTGGAATCGAAAACTTTGCACCACAGAAAGTTGTGCACCTTGGGTCTGAAAGAGCGAAGAAAGTGCTCGTATGGGATTAGTTGTTCCTCGCTTTTACATCCATTTTTTGTTTATTGCAGTGCGTTCCTGTGTGCCAGCGACAATGTCTCCATCAATGAAGTACAAGCAAACCATTAAATATCTGCAAGCCAAAGTAGCAGCACAGCGGAAAACTATCAAAAGACTGCGGAGACAGCCTCACCAAGCACTGTCATCGACTTCAAAGGCCCTTGGAGTTATCTGACCGCACGTCACCGAGGAGGTTTTTAAACTTCTTTCTGCACATGTTCGCCTGAGGCCCAAACGCAAGGGCAAGCGGTTTCCCGTGTGGTTCAAGAAATTTGCTCTTCACTTAAACTTGCGAGGCCCGCGAGCATACCGATTTCTGGCTCCATATTTTTCTTTGCCCTCCCGGCGTTCATTAAGGAGGTGGCTAGCTAATGTAAAGATGACTCCAGGCATAATTCCAGGAATCCTTTCTTCCATTGCAACAAATACTCAAGCTTGGAATGAACGGGACCGAGTGTGCGCTTTAGTTTTCGACGAAATAGCACTCAAAAAGAATATGTACTATGATGCTGCAAGAGACGTTGTCCAGGGTTTTACAGATGATGGCACTCATCGCACTTCAACCATTGCTGATCGTGCACTGGTTTTTCTTCTCGTTGGTGTTTCGAGAAAGTGGGTTCAACCGGTTGCTTTTACACACATCAACACCATCATCTGTTATGCATAACTTGCTGGTGTCACTCATTTTGGAGCTTAGGAGCATTAATACTGCAGTGAAAGCAGTCATTTGTGACCAGGGCAGTTCAAATGTAAGTCTCGCTAACCAACTAAGAGTGACTGTAGCAAAGCCTTTTTTTTAAGTTAATGGTGAGCGGGTGTATTACATTTTTGATGTTCCGCATTTAATTGAAGCAACGCGCAATAATGTCCAAGCACACAAGTTATACATTGGGGATGACATCGTTAACTGGTCACACATTGTAAGCCTTTACCAATCCTCACATGAGTTGCGGTTGCGATTGGCTCCAAAGTTCACTGAACGGCACGTTCATCAGAAACCTTTTTCTAATATGAAGGTCAGCAGAGCAACTCAGGTCCTCAGTGCATCAGTTTCGATTGCTATCACGGCAATGGTGTATGCGAAGGTGCTGCCTGCCTCGGCTATCACTACAGCTCAATTTTGTGATCGTATGGACAGAATTTTCGATGCCTTGATCAGCTCAAGTAAAAAAAGAACTTCGCAAAAGCTGCGGCATGCAATCATGAAAAATGATTCAGAGCTGATTGACTTACTCCGAGGCCAGCTTCATTGGATTGCATCATGGCTGTTTGTTGGCAGACGTCAACCACAAACCATCGTAGGTTGGCAAATTACAATTCAGGCTTTTTGTCAACTATGGGACGACCTCTCCAAAAATTACAATTTTGAGTACCTGTTAACACGCAGGCTTCAACAGGATCCTCTGGAGAACATATTTGGCCACATCAGGCAAAAACAGGGTTGCAACACCAACCCCAATGTAGCACAATTTATTTGTGGCCTGAAGCACACCTGCATAAGAAAACTCTTCAACAAGCTGTCAGAATACGGAAATGTCGAGGATGATGAACGTGGCCTCCTCCAGGAGCAGCTCTCACCATTCTCTCTCACCAGTGCGTCTCTTGTGGATAATGAGGAGTGTGCACAGCCACAGCCTGACGACTTTCCCGCTCTAGACGATCTCTCTGAACTTGCGACCAACATTCACTCCCATATTATCGATGACTCCGCTGCATATTATGTAGCTGGTTTTCTCATCAAACACTTCCTTCGGAATGCATGTGACGGTTGCAGTTTCCCACAGTTACTGAAAGACGACAGTCAGACGCTTAAGGGTAGCCACCAGTATTTCACAATGCTCAAAGCATACCACGTCCCCAGCAAACTTTTTGGGAATCTCACTGTGCCATCAGAAGCAGCTTTTGCATACGTACAACAACTTGAATCTCACTTTCTTGCCATGATTGAGGCCACTGCACATCATCTGAAAGTGTACGATGTTTTGTATCACCATCTGTCAAGTGTTGGCGATTTTCATTTCTGCTCTGCTGGGTGTCGCGCGAAGTTTCTGAAAATGTTTTGCCGGGTTCGTTTATGTTGGCATGTGCATTTTGTGAACCGAAACTCAGATAGGGTTAGGTTCCAGTTTTCAATCTCAGGCATACAGCTTGACAAGTTCAAAGGTTAGCAATTAGCGGCGGGTTTACACTAAAGTATTCGAGTTGAGCCGAATCCTGCAATAGCTTTGTTATGTTATTACTTCGTTACAGCAGACTTCATTATGGTCTTATATGCTTATATTCAGTTCAACTGGACTAACCACTCCTTCGTTGCATACATTGTTTTGGTTACCCGCTATGAGGAGTAGGGACACTGTGTATTCGCTCGAAGTGATTCGCATAACTTTAAAAAGAATGTTAGGTATCCTGTCTGTATTTTTGTAGCAAATGCGGGCGAACTGTACACTTTACTGTGGGTCGCTTGGTCACTGTGTATGCTTTATCTCTCCAGCTCAAGTAATATATCCATAACAAAACCGCTTGTTGAAATGTCTTCGAGCGGGTAAGGAACACAGTATGAAGTGGGCACGGTTCACGTTATCACGCTTTTCGTATTTTAGCTTCTCATCAACGTCCTCATCTCGCCCATCAAAATTTTCAAAAGAATACCCAAACTTGTAGCGTTTGATGGGGCTGCGGACGCTGCCATTTCATTTTTGTATAGCTTGTGAGTGATAACGTACGATGTAGAGCCTTTGCGAAAAATAATGAGCCAAAGTGGTTTCCTTCTGCTATTTATTAGCCCTGTAATACCGCTCTCGTAGCACCAATTAAGGTCCACAATTCTGGATAAGTGATGACTACAATCTATTTTAGCTCACAAGCGTCACAGCAACACCCAGACGCAAATCACTTGGAATCTTAAGTTTTTGATGAAGGCGACGCATAAGAAGAGCCACAATACCTGCCAGTGTTGTAGCTTAAAGTTTGTCTTTCACGTAGTGAGCAAGCTGCAAAGCCCTACTTTTCTGAGGACAAGCAGGCATCAAGTCTGCTTTTTTTTTCATTTTGGGCTAGCTGTTCTTAAGCACAGCCAGCACACTGCACCTTTGCCTTTCTGCTATATTGTTTCGTGTGGTTTCTGTGCACTCTTTTTTTCTATGCATTATTTCGGTTAACCCCAGGCGTGATTCGTGACTTCATTGCTGTGTATATGTCACTTCTTCCATCAGCATTGTGCACTGTGTTTTTGCCATAGATCCTTACTTACCCACTGGCCCGGTATGTCATACTTCACCAGCTTCTCGGCTTCTGCCAACTCTAGCTATGTGTGCGTTGTCTGTGTTCTCTCTGTATTTGTTACAATATTTGTTACAATTGATTTGTAGGGCGAGATGCATTTGTTGTCTACCTTTGTCATATTGTGCTTTTTATATTCTCAGACTCTACCTTGCCTTTGAATAAAACATTGCGGATACTCTGTCTCTTTGACTGATATATACATTGATCACTTGTTCCAAAAGAAAAACACAAGTGCGATGAATAAAACCGTAGTGAATTATCATTACCTGCATCTTTTTTTATTATAACTTAATCGAAATAAAATTACGTCACGACCAATTCGCACGAACCACTGAACAAAACAAAACAGGGAATCGCTAAATCAAAACTACTTACAAAAACTATCCATTTGGGCGATGAAAAGTGGTCTGAAATCATGAACTTTCGCCATAGCCAAACGTCGGTTACGCAAAGTAATTCAAAACTTGCGCCAGTGAAACCGAAACAGGAAGCGCACGCCACTTGCTTTCACCAACCACCAGGTGTGCTAGGGTCGATTGGACCACTGGGGTCTACGGGAGTGTTCACTCTTAACCTTTTTTTTTTTTTTTATTTCTCTATGGCTGTACCCTTTAGATCAGGCGGTGAAATTAGGTGCCTTTTTCCTCTTCATCGTAACCACTACCACTTTATCCTATGATGCTGATGTCAAGCGCAACAAGTGCTGGCTAGGTGTTCTATGTGCCGGCAGGTGTTTTGTATGCCGGCTTTTATGTGCACTTTTCCCGTGCTGGTGCGGCTTAAACATACACCAGCGCTCCACGTTCCTTATGGATTCACTGAGAACACGTTATTAGGTCTTATCACCACTTAGCGTTGGGTGTCCGGAGGCCGCTCGCGGTCAGCGAAGCAGAGTTTCCTGTTTGAAGGCATGGTGAAGGAGGAGGAAACGTTGCAACGCATCGCTGGGAAGCCGGGAGGTTCGGCGTGTCCTCTTTCGCATCCACGGCAGTGCACTGACGAATAATCTGCTCTGATCCGTCTAAGCGTTCGCTGTACGCCAGCAAGAATATTAACGGCGAAAGATGTTCCGTGCACTTGCGGATATTTTCAATCCTCTGGACGTCTTCTGGACTCTTGTAACAACTGCGATGCTCCTGTCCAGTTGCTGCTACTTCGGCAAGAAAGATGCTGCGCCGGGGCTGCTGACGGCGGCGATGCTCTACGGCAAAGTGGCCGAAACGAACAAGAAAGCTCGGCTCCTCAGAGGAATTTCAATTCCTAAAAGGTACTATGCGTTGTGCCAACGAGTACACCTCTCCATAAATGTACTGCGCGATTGCACCTTTGAGAGCAAGGATGAAACATTTTTGTAAGCATAAATTACAAAACAGTTTTCTTTTGTTTATGCGTATGTGCTTTTATTTTATCCATTTTCTCTATTTTTATGCTGATATCAATGTAACGTCGTGAAAAGAAACACCGTGCGTGACAGGTCTTTCGGAGGCATCTCGCCTTCTCTTCGGAGGTGAAGTTCTATATTTAATTTGAATTCAATTGAATCTTTATTTTCATGTTTGATACTACATGGAAGATAGCGGAAGTAAAAGCTGCACTGAAAGAGCTTGACTAGCTCCCGCTAGCTAAAATGAATGGGTAAGAAGCATTGGCATACAAATAAGATAACAAAACCATACTATACAGAAATATGATAATGTCAATCAATTAAATTACCTAAACATAAACAGGATACAACAGTTTGCCATGAAGAGAAAAACAAAACGTCAGAAGCTTGGAAGGCTGTTACAAAATGCATAAGAGGTGATACATACAAAATGGTAAACGACATCATGATACAACTTATGCCCATAACTATGTATGTGACTATGAATAAATCAGTTTTCTCGCAGCCCTATAGTGCACTCTGCAGGTCTGCTAAAGTGCTATGCCGAGTAGTATGTGTGCTAGACGTGAAATAATGTAAAGATGTTGTCTTCCAGCTTTTCTTTATAAATTATTTTTTAAGCTAGTACTGGCAGGTAAAATATGTCTTCGCATTATTTTTAAGTCCATCAAGCTGTTTCTGTTTGATCTAGACAAGGCTAACCTGTACGCTGCACATTCTGAAGCAGGGAGCACAGTAGCAATCCAAATTAATAAAGTCCTCCATTGCATCCTTTCAAGACCTGCTCGGTTTGATATCCATGGTTTCAAGAGTGGAAGAGGACAAGCCTTTTCTCTCTTTTTATCTTCTTGATGTGCCTAAATGATGTGCTTATGATGTGCCTAAAGGGCATATCAACATGCCATGTTTTTCAAGCGCATAATTAATTAACAAGGTAGGCAGCCACTTGCTGTAGACCACTCAGTTTCCTCTCTCATACATAGAATACGTTTTTGAAGAGTGCCCTAATTTTGTCTTTACAGATGGTTCAAACACTTTTATCAGTTTGGAGTTGTCATCTTCACAGCCTTCACTCTATTCATGGTGCGGTCGTACGTTTTCGGTTTGCCACTGCCAGGCGCAGTCATTAAACTGGTGAATTTCTTTGAGCCAAGACCAACTGGGACTGGTAAGTAAAATTCACCGTCACTGTATTATTTTGTTATATATATATATGTTTGGCCGTACAAGTATACCATACTTTTGTATTGATTCAAATAACATCTTGACTCTATGAGGATTGAAGTTTTGAACAGAAGTAGCATTTCACAGTTGTTTCACTTTAATGACATGTTTGTGTCCAATATTTGCTTGTTTTGTACTCAAAGCCAAAGTGTGCACCATGTGAGATGATGGCACTGTAAAATGTCGGTTTCGTGCGATGAAATTCAAGCTTAGTGTCATCTCTCGCTATTGTGATGACAGATGCACTTCACTGTACCAGGTGTTCAATATTACGCTTTATGGTTTTCTTAAAACTCAGCTCTGGGACATATGTGGCAACCACCTTTGCTAATAGATTACATATCGAGGGTAACACAAATCGAGATAATAATTATTGCTGTCTGCTGCCAACTTAACCAATGACGGCTTGCCAACTTTTCTCCATGGATATAATTACTTGAATTGCATAGATGTTACCATGTTTTTCCAAGATCTACTGAATAGTGTGGGATGGACAACAGATGTGGAAACACGTGGGAGTGACAATTTCCCCATCCTTATAAATCACCCCTACATGCGAAATGACGACATTAGGCGCTACAGCAAACTGACGAACTGGAAAGCATTTTGGTACCGCCTAACAAACCAAATTAGTGAGCTTATGGCAGTTAAAAGCTTTTGCTGAATTTCCACAGGATAATCTGAACAAATGTACAAAAAAAGTCCCGATTCCAAAAGACTATGCTGCAGTTGATGGAGAGTATGAACATTTAAGAGCCATCGGACGACGTTCCGAAAGGGCATATCAACGTTGCGGAAGTTTAGAAGCATACAAAATGCACAAAAAATCCACAGTGTAATGCGCAGATGACTAGAAAATTTAGGTAAACGACGCTGGCATGATTTTTATGGCACGCTCTCTCCCCACACACCTGTTACAAAATTTTGGCTTGTAATTCGAGCATTTAGTGGCCCTGTATCACAGAGCTTCCCATTTCGTGCTCTTGCTGTAGCCATGGGCAAACAGGAAGTTGTAGTTGACGATGAATTTTGTCAACTTATCAATTGGCTCGGCTTATCACAATGTCCCTTATTTGATAATTTTGTTGCGTTAGCCAGCCAAAAAATTAATGCTTGCTATTGGGCCTAGCATCCTCAACTAGACCCTGTATTTACGTTGAGTGAGCTGCAATGTGCTATAGTATCATGTTGTCAGAAATTGGCCTCTGGACCGGATGGCATTACATACAATATGCTAAGGAACCTTGGGCCAACAGGCACGACCATTCTCTTAGATATTTATAACTATCTATGGACACAAGAAGTCGTACCAGAGTCTTGGAAGTTCGCTCGCATCATTCCGATCTTAAAACCGGCTAAGACGCCCTTGAGCCGTGAATCCTTCCGCCCAATTAGTTTGACAAGTTGTTTATGTAAGGTAATGGAAAAAATGATTTATGCGCGACTTCAGTGGGTGGTGTAACAGAACCGGTGTATTGTCCAGCTACTTAACATGTTTTAGGATGCAGAATGGATGCAATACTGCACATAGTAACGTATGTAGAGCATGAACGCGCCTGTGCTAGTTTGATGATCGCAGTGTTCTTAGACATCAAAAGGGTATTTGACAACAGTCACACGCATGTTCTGCTAAGTATGTTGGAACTCGGACTGTCCGGCAGGTCTTTGTGATGGATCTATAAATTTTTATCAGGTCGCAAAATATTCATTCAGACGAGCGAAGGAAAGAGTGCTGAACACGACATCAGACTGGGAGTGCCACAAGAAAGCGTTCTCAGCGCTTTTCTTTTCAACAGTGTTATGGCTTATTTAGCAAAAAGACTCCCTACTCGGTTGAAATAATCTCTATATGCAGATAATGTGTGCATTTGAGCATCTAGGTATTGACGTTCAGGTAATTCAGATTGCATTGCAAGACAGCATAAATGTTATCAACTACTTTAAAAAAAAGAAGAATGGTTCTGTCACACCCAAAGACAGCTGTATTGCCCTTTACCCGCAGGAAGCTAAAAAATTTCAATCTCAATTTCAAAGGAGAACCACTAATGACTGTGACACAGCATCGATTTCTCGGAGTAATACTTGATCGGCTGCTATCATGGGCACTTCACATCAGGAAACTGAAACGAAGTGAATATGCTAGTGGATATACTCCGCAGAATTGCTGGAACACCATGGAGCGGATCTGTGTCATCCCTGCTCGCTGTCCACGATGCTTTAATGTGACAAAAAATTGCATATTCTGCAGCAGTCTTACACGGCCTGTCTCGCACTTCAGAGGAGCGACTTCAAAGACTATTAGCTAGGGGACTGCATGTCTGCCGAGGTGTTCCACGAGCAACTTCCAGCAGCCTTCTCAAAGCAGAGACTCCACAACCACCCTTTCTAGTCATGAGAACAATCGAAGCATGCTGCCATTTTTTTCGCTTACAGATGCAACACAAAGGCCACCCATTGGCACTGGAGATTTTACAAAGGGATAAAAGCAATGCTAATGAATAAATACAGAATAATCTGCATATATTACCAAGGAATGCATTTTGGAGCTCTCAAGTATAGTATCCTCCATGGCTGATTGCGTTACCAAGCATTGAATTGTCAGTAAATGGCATCATCAAAAAGAGAGACGTGTTCATTCAAGCTGCTCAACAACTAGCGCTTTATCAGATACACATGCGGTATCCAGGATACATACATGTTTACACAGATGGCTCAAGTATTACATCTTCAACATCAGCATTTATTATACCGCAGCTCAATATTCAGGAAGCATTTAAATTATGTCGCACGATGTCATCTACAACAGCTGAGCTCTTCGCTATTCTGTATGCTATCAGGTTTATGAACTGTGCAGCAGACACGAAAAAATGGGTACTTTTCGTAGATTCACAGGCCGCATTGACATCACTGTCCAGCACAAACACAACAGTAATTAGTGATAGTATGACATACAAAACACTTAAAGAGCTCACCAAAGCAAGCCAGGCACAACATGAGATCGAATTCCAGGGGTACCTGGCCATTGCAACATTCCTGGAAACACAGCTGCCGATTAAGCGGCACGACAAGCACATCGTAAGGATGTTACTGTTTCTTTACCAATTTCAAAAAATGAATTGCGTATTATTATAAAGGCTACAACTTTCCGAATGAGCAAAATGCTTGGTTTAATCAAAGTACAAAGAGCTGTGATTTATATCACATCCATCCATTCATTGGATTCGAAATTACACTAGCATTGGATAGAAGTATGGAAACACTTATTCATTGGTTGAGGCTAGGCACCGCATACGCAAAGCATTTTTTGCACAGAATTAACAGAGCTGAAACACCCGAATGCGAATGTGGATTTATAGATGAAGACATATGTCACCTTCTTATAGACTGTCCACAATATGACATGCCGAGACGCCACCTTAAATCAAAGCTGTTGGCATTACACCGCAGACCATTTAGTATGAAGAAACTTCTTGGCCCGTGGCCAACTGGTGCTTTACAGACGTATGCTTTAAAAGCTTTAAAACATTTTTTACAAGACAGCGGAATTGCTTGCAAGTACTAAAAAGTAACGAACTTTAATCTGTTTAACACGTCGTATTTATTATGTGCAGTATTATATGACATCTATCATATGTGTGTGCTGAAGTGCATGGCGTGTCGACTGTTATGTACACATGATCGAATACATCTCCATAAGGACCAGACGTGTGCTCTGCTATTTTGTGCCGATTGGATCCAATGTTAATGAGGGACATTATGAGGAACTGCGTTAGTTGATTTTCGAACATTTCCTTATTGTGTTGGTTTAGTTTGATATGTGCGTATGAATGTGTTTTTGCATATGTGTGCTCGAGTGTTCTATTTTCCATGCACTGCTCTTTGCGTTCAACTTTCACTCAAGGGCTAAGGAGTAGCCAGCGTCGTACTTGCGCACTAACATCTCCTTATATATCATATCAATAAAAAAAAATTGCATATTTAACCTTTTAGCTGCAGTAAGTGGTCATCGTTATATTGAAAAGCTGGAGGTAGTCATATTTGTACAGAGTTCCATTTGATGGAATTTTCACAGCACATTCGTCCTGCGAGATAACTGGCTGTGAAGTTTGAAAGAACCCTGCAATACTTTCCCTGAGTTGTAATATAATAGTTTCACTATTATTGCATGATGCTTCACTAATCAGATGCCACCAAAATTTTTAGAATTGGTCAAGTATGAGCGCTTTCTCTCTCCTTTCGTGCCAGAAAGCGTATTAAGAACTACGAAAAAGAGGGGAATGACAAGATGGCAAGAAGATGTGTCCCTTTGTCAGCATGCACCATGACCTTGACCACTTTGTTTCTCTTAGGATGTGCGGCTTACTTTCAGTTTGGTCACAAGCATGTGAGTGGGTTCATAGTGGCAGCCCGCCGCAGGCACAGCAACTATAAAGCAAATCAGCCAACTGCTGTGGATGTGGGTATATGGCACAGAAGTTGAAATATATGGCTTCATTTGTGGAGAGAAGAGTAAGCCATTTTTAGCTCACTGATAATTCATGGCAAATTCTAGGCTGTGTGACGCGCTATATTTTTTGGGTCACATTTTCTCAGGAACGTTGACTACCCATTTGCAGCGTCTTGTGACATTGCTCAGAAAGTGTTGCAGGGCCCCTTTAATTGTGGTACAGATGACTACGCATGCCAGACAGTAAAGACTAGTGCAAAGCTCCTCGCCGACATGCTGCTGCAGTTGCGTTTGGCATTTAATCCAACAGTGGGTCGAAGGCATAGGCATAGATGATAATGGTTACCCTTTTATACCAAGGAAACACTGTTTCTCATATCTGGCAGGAACGTATATTGCACCGATCCTCACTGCCTTGAATGCCTAATTATGCAAACTGCAATTAAATTTTGCATCGTGACATCTCCAAGCACGAACATGCTGAAACAATTTCTTGA